TCCTTGAAGAACAGAAGTGGAAACATGGATACAGCCGATGCCAACGCGACTGGCTTTACAACATCCATTAAACTTGAATTAGAAGAAATATTTAGCTTTTATGAAGGTTGCTATGCCTTGATATTCTGCAGTCACATCAATTGTCTAAGCAACACAGCACAACATCAAACAACATAATCACTGAGATGTTAATGGAGATAATATATGAATATGATATATGAATAGATGGAAGAGATTACAACATATCGCTGATGTTTTAATTTAGTTTTTTTATTGACTAGTACATTCTTTCAAAGTTTTAACTGAATATACTTTTGCACATTTTGTGCATTATTAATCACTGTACAAATCAGACTAATGTATTTCTTCTTTTACCTGACTGTTTTATTAATGTTTTTAATTGAAGTTTGGCTTCTAACAATTGGTTCTAATTTGATGTATTTCTAGTGCATCTAGTTTGAGGTATCCTGGTTTTATGACTCATCTTCTTAACTATATGTATAGTGTTTTTATTTATTTCATTGTCACATATGTTTTGTTTGTGAAATGGTGTTTTATTTTATATAAACAGGGCGTCCGTGCATAGTGAAATAGCTCTCGATGGACTAACCTGTATAAAGGTTGAATGAATGAATGAACATGGTCAAAAAATGTGCACCTGTGGCAGAGTTCCGATCCACACTCCAGTCCAGTAGGTGGCGGTAATGCTGTTTGTCAGCCGCCACAAAACCTCAAAAAGAAGAAGAATGAGCATGGCAGGCAGAGTTATGACAACTGTGTTTTGAAGTTGCAAATAGTATTTGTTCCTTGTTTCTAAACAGACCTTCCTAGGACTTTGTCTGTATCTAAACTAATAAACGTGTTGTGACCCAGGTAAGTGACACCGCATCTTAAACCGGGTTCTGTCTGTCAAAATAAAGAGCACGTGGGTAGTTGCTAGCTGATCCTGCTACCAGGCTAATAACATTATCCAAAAAATAATCTACAGGCTGCAATGTATCCGTCAGATTATACATTTATGGTGTTTCTAATCTTTGTCAGACAACACTGGTCTATGCATATCACGCAGTGCATGTATGCGCGCAGGTTATGGGCAAACCTGGGGTGCAAATGATGAACAGCTGGGTGTAGGTCCGTTTAACTTCAACATAGTTAAGATGGTTGTTGTCAGCTTATGTTTAATAAACAGTCGAGATGTAGAATTAACGCAACTGTTGCCTATAATTATGCAGTTAGGTTTTTCTGAAATAGGCCACGTACAGTACCTAGTAAGCGTATTGGGAAACATTTGTATAAGTTAAGTAAGTAGCCATGTACCTTCGGTGTTTGGTGCCTGTATTTTCAGTGTGTTAATTTTACTCTACCAAAGTAACTGAGTACATGCAAACGTTACAGGTTTGCTTACTTATCCACTCCCTGGTATCCATTAATCCACTTGTAGGCGGTTTTTTCTGTTTTCAGTGAACGGTAAATTCAACTGAATATTGAACTATTATATGTTTATACTGTAGAAAAAGCAAGGGTATTGAGAGGAAAAAGAAAGCACCAGCAGAAAGAGAGAGAGTTGAAACGATGAGCTATTAATGGTCAAATTTCTGTTGGTGCTGAGATTGTTTCTTCAGTCAGTGGGGTGGAATAATTAAGAACTGATCCCAGCATGTTATTAAACACGTTTCCTAACTGTGCATATGACAAACACTTTGAACTTGAAATTATTTTATTACATTACTCTGCTTTATACAGTGCCTATAAAAAGTATTCACACCCTTGGATGTTTTACCCTTTTATTGATTTTATAAATCAGTCATGGTCAATATAATTTGGCTTTTTTGACAAAAAAAAGACAAAAAAACCCCTCATTAATGTCGAAGTGAAAATGGGTTTCTACAAAGTAGTGTCAATTAAATAAAAATATTTAATGGGAAAAAGGTGTGCATAAATATTCACCCCCTTCAAGTCAGTATTTAGTAGATGCACCTTTGGCTGCAGAAAACATCCAAGTGGGTGAATCCTTTTTATAGGCACTATATCATTAAAAAAAAAAAAAAAAATCTGGATTTTAAGTCATTTTCAGCATCTATTTTTGGTAAAGAAGTATCTTGCCTACTCACAGGTCTCGACTCAAGACAGTCTCTGGAGTAATGCTGTGCTGACCAATGCTCTGTCTGACTTTTAGACCATCATGCCATCCGCCTGTGACGCTCTGATTGAAGACATTGAAGACATGGTGTCTTTTAATGACCCCACTCCTCACGAAAGACAGTCTGCTAGAAAGAGCATTGTACCAAGATCCAGGAAGAAAAAAGAGCTTCTGAGCAATGAGGAAATCCAAGTTGACAGGTATGCCACATGCTTATAGTGGTACAGTAGTTGAATGTGAACTGATTGTGATGTTGCTTCTGCACATAGTACGTTTTATATTATTACTGATTAGGTAAATTCTAAATTCTCAGCAAGTCACCTTGGATAACAACAACAGATCAGCTGGCCAAGCTGAGATCACTGCAGGTTGTGTAACAAGTAGAATTTCAGGCATTTCAGTTGGCCAGATAGATTGAGATACATGTGGTAGATACAGTATGTTGACTTTAAAATGTCACTCTTTTGTATTAAGGTTGAATAAAATGTGAAAAATCCCAGGTAGATAAAAATGAGATGGTCATGCTTAAGATGAAAATTAATTAAATTGTAGTCAGTTTAGAAGTATCAAAGTAAACCACTGCAGATTTGGATTTTTATAACTGCTATGTGCGGCTTGTTGTTATGTTTTTTGTTTGTTTGTTTTTTTTTTTTTAAAGAAGGATAACAACTTTGCTTTCACACCTGTAGTTCATCTCAGTTGATTCTGGCCAAGGAAAAATCTGAACCATTGCTGCCTTTTTGTTTTGGTCCATTAGGTGTTCACACAGCCTTATTACAAATAATCTACGATGTGTAAACATGAAAGCATATTAAGAGGCAACTTTATTTAGAATAATTGGTTGTGTGAGTCTTGTTAGTTGAGACTGCCATTGGGTCACATGTCATGACTAGTGGTAGGTACGAACAGGACAAAAACAGGCATCTTTCAGAATTAATATGGGGAGATACGTCTCAGATACTTCTTATTGGATAAGTACTAAACTACACACAAGCTCTACACACCTATAGCTCCTTTTTACTTTATGTAGTCAGGAAAATTTTATTTTTACTATAAAAATAGCTTGTGAATTTTCCACTTTGCTTACACAAACCAACCTGTGTAGGCCCACCTTCACAAGGGATCTCAGTGTGGTTGGTTGGTCTGCACCAGAGTTTGACTGACAACTTTCCCACCAGCCTAAACTAAACAGGTTAGGTAGGAAATCCCTATTATAGTCTATTCACTATGCAAACTTGTGGAAAAAAAAGCAAGAGGTTATGATGCTAGTTTTTTATCATCTGCACATATCATATAGTCCAACAAAGCTGCATTTCATTGCTGTTCTCTTTCAGTTTAATCCCTGGCACCCAAAAGATCTGGATGAAAACATGGGGCTGCAGTCATAACAGCTCAGATGGAGAGTACATGGCTGGACAGTTAGCTGCCAGTGGATACAAAATGACTGGTAAGAGATTGTTTAATTGTTGCAATCTGTATTATATCCTTTGACTGAAATGGTAAAATTCTGTAGTAATTTTCATTATGTCCTAGGTGTCTGTTGAACTAATGTTGTTATTATTATTATTATTATTATTATTATTATTATTATTATTATTAGCAAACACAAGGGGGCAGTCTTGCTTTGTAAGTGGTATCCGGTGTGTCATTCCAGTGGGAGGCTCTATTTTTCCCTGAATTGTACTGCCGCCAACAAACACAACCGTGCAGATGTATTTATCTTAAAATGGTTAATGTGAGGATTTGGATCATATTGGGAGTCTAGATATTACCTCTTAATAAGCATAACATGTTTTTAACTGATAGATGTAATGATGGTTTTAAAAATGTTGAGCTCTGTGTAATAATAATGTTTTATTTGTATTAGTAGCAGTAGTATTGCAGCATTTGTTGCAATATTATATTGCACCCTTGGGTTGTAATACATTAGAGAGCAGATTAGTGTCAGGATACAGATAAAATAATAAACAAAAAACACTTGCCTATGATGAATGGGATCTTTCATCTTTAGTTTTGTGTGTATTTTGCATGGATGCCAGACATATGAACTAGATTACCCGTGGTCTTTCATGAAGGATTAAGTGTGACTTTGTGTGTGTGTGTGTGTGCACAGGTGAGAGAAACTAACATGGACAAAGCAGAGTGGCACAGAGATGGACGGTCTACATTATATCAGCATGTGTGTTAGATTGTTGATTGAGTATGATAATCAGACAGTTTCCGTGTGTGTGTCTGTGAGAGATCCAGTGTGTACCACAATCTGTCATTAAGAGAAAGTGGTTTTGTGTCAGGTCATGTGTGACTTGTTGTACAGTATGTACACAGACTTGAATGTGTATTGTACTGTGTGTACTCTTTCTGTAGTGTGTGGGTGTGTTTATATTGGGGTAAGAGACAAAAGAAAAGAGTATATTGACCCCTCAGGCGTTTCTCTCACTATGGGGTCTCCACAGACATAGGAGGACATTAATCACACATTTCAAAAATGCAGATGCACTCACTCACGTAAGCACACACGGCACAAAGCACAGCTTACTCATGAACGCAGGCCGGCAGTTTCCCCCTCATCTAGTAGTTTAGAACCTTAATCTCTTTGTCTTTTCAGCCTTTCTTTGTTCTTACATTGTTTGTTCTACTTTGTTTCCCCTGTTTCTTCAGCTCCTCTCAGATATAATCTGTCTCCCCTCTCACACTTTTGTTTTACTCTCACCCTCTTCCTTTAGTCAGGAGCAGGCCATATACACTTGTACTAAGCTTTGATATTCAATCAGCTAATTGTGTTACCATCGGGGCTGACCTGAATAGCATTGGGCTCTGGATATTTGATGGTAATAATCAGCGGCCTGGTCTGATGAGCTGCTTGTGAGCGTAGCACAGTTGCAACAACATAACCACTCCTGATGGAGGTTGAAGGTTGACGTTATTTCTATATGAATGTTCACTAAAGAAGTGCCTTCACCAAATTGCCTTTGATTAGTTGTTTGTGTTTTTGCACCTGCATTTATCCTACAGGAAACAGCTTGGCAAAACAGCGACCATCTGCAGTTTACCATTTCACTTAATGCGGTTTTTACCACACTATATAGCACTGACAAAATTTCAGAATTCTCTCTTTTACCTTCAGTCTCTTCCTTTCTCACTCTTCTATCACTGCTAAAGCTAAAGGATTAGTTTGCTTTCCATCTCATTCCCCATTGCTTTATACAGCTGGCTTTGCTGCTCGGTTTGCTGCTTCTTTTTCTTTACTCCATCCTTTTTTCTGTTTCTCTCCCTCTGCTTCTTTTGGTCTGAGTGTCTTTGCTCATTGTTTTTCACTGTGAGATTGTTGCAAGGAGAAATTGCCTGTCACGGGCAGAATCCGGGGAGATTACACTCAGAACGAGCAGTGATTGTTTTGAATGGTATCGTATGGAATGCAATGCAATTGTCTAGAATGGCATGAAATTGTTGGGAGTGCATTGGAGAGAGTAGAATAGTTTCGAATGACAAGGACTAAAATAGGCTCACGAAGGATGTAGTGTCTAGTCTTGAACCAGATTGAACATGAGGACTTTCAGTAGGTTCAGCATTATCATTTGTAAGGCTGACTGTTGTCTCCCAAAAGATAAAGGGTGGAAAATGAGTGATACCTCTGTGTTGTCTGTCGTTTGAATCCGCAGTGTTGATCCTCACACTTCTATGAAAAGTGTTTGAACATGACATCACCATACTCTCCCTCCCTCCTCCTTTTCTGCAGGTTTCCCTATTTCACACCCCCTGCACCCTCTGTTCCTCTTTTATTGTAGTCTCTAACTCTTTCTTTCTTTCTTAAACTATGACATCACCTTGGGTGGTATATAGTAACAATTTGGTTGTTGGCCTCTAGGTGGCAGCCTTGCCTCATGGGAGGAGCTTTTTGTTGAAAGCAAGCATTTCTGCACCATAAGGATGAGGTCATCCTTCTGAAAAACGTACTCTGTATTCTCATTCATAGTTCTGAAAGTTATAACTTTCAGTTGTTGAAGGCTAAATGTGATCATATGTAATCAGTGTTAAGAAAATGAAGTCAGCTCTTTATTATGGTTATAGATTGAAAATCACTACTGTAATACTAACATCATGTTGTTTACATAACAAGAGCCTCATTCGCTGAGTAAGGCTGACAATTAGTGTCTAAATTAAAAAGCCTGGTGACTTTGTTTGGATGAGATGGGCCACTCATGCTTCAGTTGGAGAACATCTCAGCACATGCATACATTATTCTGTTTAATATCTAAGCCTTGAATGTATTTTTTCACATCAAATGTGTAAACACCTGCTGCTTTCATTTAATATGCTCCATTTGAACTTGAATGGATCATATCTGCCATTTCAGTTATTCAGTCATAAAGCATATGTAATGTGAAATATAAAATGTTTAGTAATCATGAATAACAATTACTGAAGAGAAAATTTCTCCCATTTCTTCCCCCAGGTTCGGTCTTGTTTTATTTCACTTCACTTCACTTCAGTGAAACATCAACCTGTGTCACTTTTCTTTTTCTGCTTTCATTGTCTCAGCACCAGCTTTACTGCCTGTATTTGCTCAGTATGGCTTGTTGCTGTTCCCATGTGCAGCCAATGAGGGCACCGTATACCCATGTTGGTACATTTGAAGCACGTTGGAGCAGCAGAACAAGCTGCCAAGTACTGACTTCATACACACACACACACACACACACACACACACACACTTCATGGAAAGTCACACCAGGATATTTTGATTGTTTTTGTCTGATCTCCTCCCCTCCCAACATCCTCTCTGCCAGCCAGCCGCAAACACAGCACTTCAGTTATGGTTTTACATACCGGTTAGGCAAAATTATTCCCTCGTACACAATGTCAGCCAAATGAGGTGTTCTTCAGTTCCTGGTTTGCACACAGACGGTTGGAGGATATGGGTTTCAGAGAGAGGGTGTGAGCTGTTTTGATAAAATTATACAAAGACTTAATTGATCAGCAGGTATTGTTGTGGATTGAAAATGCTGGAGTGTGTTTTACTATGTTTTTAACAGTGAACTGCTATGAAATTGGTTAATATGAAATTAATTACTAGATGGAAAACTAGGTGGAGTTTTTACTTTGTGACTTTACTGCTAAATTCACTTTGTTTCCATTCAGTTACCTAATGCTGTAAGCATGTTACATGACATTTGAAGAAAAGAATTAGGCATATTTGTACATTTAATATAGATATATTGGCATGACGGGTACATGACATTTGCAGTCAAAGAGTAGCCTTACTTTTTCCTATTATACAAATTAATTAGGATATTTCTAGTTGACAGTATTTATAAACGTAGATGTAAACACCCTCCAACTGTTCTGATTCAGCTCTGCATCAGTGTTGTAAGCATTTCTGTTGCTCCTTGTTATTGTATTACATCACTGTAGAGTATTCTCACTGAGTGTATGTGTACCTTGCATACATGTTGTCTCATTCATAAAACAGACTGTGTGAGGATCTTCTGATTGGCTGACTGCATGCTACGTAACATTACATGCCGCAATATTATAGCCAATGAAAGCTTACAATGTTCTCTCTGTCTCCACCTCACATACACACATTGTCGCACACAGCAAGTTCACACACACATTTGCTCTTCTCACACACAACTGCAGACATGGTAGGAATTGATATTGTACAAGGAAAGTGTGTGAGAGACAGTTCAGTTTTCGACAGCCATCATTCTGCAAGAGTAGATGTATCGCCTGGTGTGCGTATGTGTGTGAGACTCACTGTACGCTCGCTTTGTCTTTTCACTAACTGTGTGTGTCAGACAGTCCCACTTTGCTGAGATCGGGAAAGGGCTAGAAGAGAGTGAACGGAAAAGCATTGTAAGATGAGTGGAAGAGGAAGAGTCAGCGGGGAAGAGAGTTGGATGCCGGGATGAACGATAAAGCCGACTGAGACAGTTATGCTTGAAACCAAAATCAGCCAAAGTAATCGTCGGTAATAGGGGAGGGCAATATGCTGCCAGTGAAAACGAACCAGACACTGGAAAACCTGCAGAAACAGGCAGTAGTGAGATGGATAGATGGAGAAAGAGGGTATACACACATGAACATACAGTGGGTGTATATACAGGAATCAGCAGGGGCCTTGTGTGGACAGATTTATTGAGTTCATCCTTGGAAACCACACATGGGTATACACACACACACACACACGGAGTAATCATCAGATCAGATATCAAAAGGCAGTGTCTGTCTGGGAGATTAGAAGAGCCATCTGTCTGCCATGTGGAAAGCTTTAGCTTATCAATAAACTTCACACACTTCTGTATGTGCATGTATCTGTGTGCTTGGGTGTTTGATCCAGCCACTGATTATGGACTGTAAATGAGAGTGACAGAAACTGAAGCACAAAATAACTAACTAATACTAACAGTAAAAATAAACATGTTTCCTTTTAGCTGACCTTATTAT